TGGTAAATTGGATAATAATAATGTACATTGGCGAAGTAATAGTTAGTTGATGGAATCCATGTCTCGGTTTAGAGATTGATGATACACCTTTATGAAAGCTTATAAGTTTTCATGTGTAAACCCGGCCGGTGGATTTTCTATCCGACACATGAAATAAGTTAAGCGAAAGTCTAAAGGAAATAATCAATAAATTAAATCTTTAGTAATTTAATTTGATTGTTAGTATCTGAATCTTAACATGGGGAGTTAAATAAGATTTAATGGGTGAATTTCGGAATTGAACAGAAGAGTGCAATTACGAATTTTTAGTGGAATAATTCGTAATTTATTATGGTAGTATTAATTCGGATATTTCGAATTAAGTCCATAATAGGAAGCCTCGTAAATTAAATTCTGTGGTCCCTACTGTGCCTAAATAATTAGGAATTAAATGGAATCTCGTTTCTTGATGGAAAAGGAAGACACAACAGCTTTAGGAAAATGTTTTAAACCCTAAAACCTGTGACTATATAAAGGGGTCTTATTCCATAAGGAGGCTACGAGTTTTACTACACGTTTTCCATGGAGAAAATTCGCCCACACGAATTTCGATAATTCCAGGCATTATTCGGGTCACACAGTAGAAGACCGTGGAACTGGAGGATGATCTCGTTGATGATTTTTGTTCATGCTTGAAGGTATTTTCGCGTTCGCGGTCACGCTTCAAGAGATAAGTATCGATTTTACGTTTGATTACTTCTATGCTTTTGTGTTGTCTATTTTTCATGCAAGTGATCCTGGCTATTTGCTTCCGCTGTTTATACCTGTTTTCCATCAAATAAAGCGTTAGATTGGCCGTATTAAACTCTATTGCTAATATATGCATAAATTATGCGAGAGTTTATGTATTATTTCATGCAGGGGCAGATCCACTTTCCGACCTACGGGTTCCCGTGAACCCAATAAGTTTTGTCCAGTGTTTGAAAAATTTACTAAATATCAATAAATGTTCGAATGCGAACCCAGTTAATTACTATTGAAAATTTACTGGAGGTCGTTGTAGGAACCCATAAGCGTTAAATCTTGGATCTGCCTCTGATTATGTTGGATAAAATATGGGGAAAAAAATACATATATTAGCAATAACAATATATGAATTAGAGCAGCTAAAGAACAAAAAACCTTTTAAATTAAGCAATTTCCACGTAACAACAACAACAACAAAAATAAAATTCGGTGTAATCCATAAATGGGGTCTGGGGAGGTAATATGTACGCAAACTTTATCACTACCTTATAAAGGTAGAGAGGTTGTTCTCGATAGACACTCGACTCAAGGAACAATAGAAATAAGATAAAGCAGCCACGTAACAACTCCTACGTACATTATTATTCACCGCATAATAGTCTCATTATAACTAAGCTAGCATGCGCTGTCATAATAATGCTAATCTCCAATATAATTGCTAAAATAACCATTCATGAGCAGAAGCTTCTATGACTATAATATTATCATATACATAAAAGAAGAAGACAATAATTTTCAAAACAATTAAACCACCAAGTCAATATTCAAAGCCGTGCTAACGCGGTTAGTACACTATAGTCTTGTACCTTTATTTTTCTTTCTATATAGTCATAAACCAAGACTTACTGCTTTTATATTCTTTCATATCATAGCAAAATTATCATAATCAATCTTCCAAATTTTCCCAAAAATGTCTCCACCTCAATCTCCAAATTCCACCATGACTGAATCTAGAGATCAAGTTCGTCCTTTGGCACCTGCATCTCACCGTATACACGTAGAAAACGACGAACAAGGCATTAATTCCACGTTCATGTCCAGCATGGAGTTATCCAAAAAACGACGTCGTAAAAGGTGCATTAATTGCTGTAGTTGTTGTGGAGTTACAACAATAATCATAGTTGTAATCATCATAATTCTTGCATTCACCGTTTTTAAAGCAAAAGATCCTACTATAAGGATGAATTCAATCAAATTCACAGGCTTGAGTTCTCTTACTAGTAGTTCAAACCTTCAAACAAACGTCAACATAACAGTCTCTGCAGATCTTTCTATTAAAAACCCTAATGCGGTCTCGTTGAAGTTTAGCAGCGCAACCACTAGTTTGATGTACGATGATAGAGTCATCGCAGAAGCGTTTACGCCACCGGGCAATGCTAAGGCCCGACGGACTTTTCAAATGACCGTGAACGTCACGGTCATGGTTGAAAAATTAGTGGGAATTCCGCGACTAGCGAGTGATTTGGTGGCAAGAGAATTGCCTTTGAGTATGTCAACAAGTATTAAGGGAAGAGTCAAGATTTTGGTGATTAAAAAGAGTGTTGGCATAAGAATGAATTGTAGTATGGTAGTTGATTTACAAACGCAAGAAGTTAAGAATATGGATTGCAAAAGAAAAGTTTCTCTATAGTTTTGAAAAGATGTGATCTTTTCCCCCTTTTAAACATATACACTATATATTACACAGAGGCCGAGTCAGGATTTCAAGCTTATGGGTTCGAGATTCTAATCGTTTTAAGTTAGTGGCTTCAAGATAAATATAGGATTCGAATTAAAACTATCGGGTTCGACCGAATCTGCTCCCGGCACTCTAGCTCCACCCCTGATAGTAGAAATTAGAGTTACTGGGAGTCGAACTTGTGGTGTTACAGTTTGAATTGTGACATCTTGATCGTTGAACAATTTCAGATATTCGAGTTTAGTAGTTATAGCTAGTTATAAGCTATATGGTAGTATACCAGTTGAGATTTTAGTCGAGTGATGTGTAAAGATTTTAATTACATTGTTCAATATTTTATTAATTTATTTGAAAATTTTGTGTGATTAATGAGTAAAGTTTGAAATATGATTGAGCATTTAGCGTCATATATTAGCTGAATATTGATGCTCGTTTTTGCAAACATTATTTTTAATCTTATTCATGGATACTTAAAGAGATACAGAAATGGAAATCCTTTGATTATTTGCTTCTCTCTTAGTTAACTGGCAATTGAGAAGCCTGATATGGGCAACATAGCATTTAAAATTTGAGGTAAGAGAATTCAGACACAAGGACAGGCGGAGCTAAGATTTTGTGTCTATGGGTTCTTTGTTTTTTTGGGTTTTCATCGTCAGAGTCGGATCCAACATTTAAAGTTTATAGGTTCCTATATCGATATCAAGTAAATTTACAATAATAATTGGAGTCACTGTCAGATATTTATAAATATTTAATTGAAACAAGACCTGAGCAAAAGTTACTGGGTTCCCATGAACCCGCGCGCACACCGTAGTGTAGATCCACCACCGTCTATCTTCACCTTCTTAATTTCTTGGATTGGATGTTTGGGCAGACAATCAGGGCAAATCGAAATATTTGCTAAAAATGAAAATCAACATGCAACTAATGATGATGAATTGCTCATATAATCGTATATTAGACGCCTTTTTAATTAATTAATTTAATGTGCATTTTCAACCGTTTTGATGGGATTGGAACTTCACAAAATATCTTACTCATATATTTATTATTTTTTGTTCATTACAACATGACACGCGCATCAGTTTAAAGTTGAAAAACCTAAAAGGCCGCCACGGAAAATTAGACGTATAATTCATGATTGTCGTATATGCTTGTTCGTCTATAACAATTAAGGCTGTATGGTGGGCCGGTCTGGGACCGGGACCGGACCGGGCCCGCGGTCTTAACGGGCTAAACGGTCCCGGCGGGCCGGTTCTGATGGGCCGGTCCCTGATGGTGTAGAAAGCCCGTGGCGGGCTGGTCTCTTGCGTGAGGCCGACGAGACCGGGACCGCTAAGCCCGGGACCGGCAGGCGGTCCTGGGCCGGTTCAACCGGGCCTAACGGTCCTAACGGGCTCCAACGGACGGTCAGATTTTAAAATCTAGCCGTTGGCCTTTAATTTTCAACCGTTTGGAACTTTAAAAAATAGCCATTTGGCCCCCAAACTTTATTTTAACCCCAAACTTTATATAATTACACTTTTTTCCAATTCTCAACTATAAATACCCCCTCATTCTTTCATTTTTACTCACCAATTCATCAATCTATCTCAATCTCTCTCAATCTCTCTCAATCTATATCTAATTTCTCTTCTATAATTGCTTATTTTATTATTGCAATTTCGTGAAAAATTGTGAAGTTGGTGAATTGAAGTATTCAAGTCTTCAACGATTTTCAATTTTCAAGAAGTTGTTCGGCAATTCGGTAAACTCGTTCCAACTCTTAAGTTTTAAGAATATATTTTTGTGTGTTTAGTTTGCATAATTGTAATTAATATGGCATTTTCTTTGAAAAAAATGTTTGGTGGTAAGGGAAAAGCTAAAATTGGTGAAAGTAGTCTCCAACCTACTACCCTTCCCCTTGCTCCTCGACCCAGACCTATTACCCGTCCTGCTGCTCCTATTATTCTTGATAGTGATAACCCTTGTTTTCAATTTTCCGATAGTGAATTTTGCCATAATGTTGCACAAGTTGAGCAATTAAATGAAGAAGTTATGAATGCTCTTTATCCTAATCAAACTATCTTAGAAAATGATGAGGAAAATGAGGATGTAGCTGAAACCCAACCGGATTTAGATGATTCACCTACTTGTCCTGTTAATAACCCAACTGATGCCCCGCCCGACCCACCTGTAGAAACCCCTACTTTTAATAGACAACCTTCTAAACGCCTAGAAACATCATTAGTTTGGAATTTTTTTACTCAAGTAAGAGAACAAAATAAGGCTAGGTGCAAAACTTGTGGGAAATTGCTGGCGCATAAATATACTGGAGACCGTAGCGGTACGGGTAGTTTGGCTAGGCACATACAAACACACCCTAGAGATAAAGTTAAATATTTACAAATGAAAGCGCAGCAAGAGGGGACAAGTGTAGATACTGCGGTTAACCCTAGTACAGGTTCAAATCTAGTTCAACCAGGAATTAACACTGTGACCGGTGGTATTTTATATTACGATCCTAATAAAGATCGTGAAAAATTAGCAAAGATGGTTACCGTTATGTGCTTACCATATACTTTTCCTTCTAACCCTAATTTTGTGCATTATATTAGAAAAGTTTTTAATCCTACTTATAAAGGTTGGCCTCGCGCAACAGTTAAGAGCGATATTTAAATATAAACATGAATATGAACAATATTTGCGGTATTTATTTACTCATATAACTAATCGGATTTCTATTACTACTGATATTGGTAGAAGTAATAATGACTGTGATTATCTAACTATTACAAGTCATTGGATAGACGAGGAGTGGATAATGCAAAAACGCATTATTGCGTATAGAATAATTAATTCACGTCACACAGGTAAGTTTATTGCTAACACTGTTGCAGATATTTGTAGATATTTTTGCATTAGAGATAAAATAATGGCAATTTCTATGGATAATGCTTCTAGTAACACTAGTGCTATAGGCATACTTACAACAACACTAAATCCTGCATTTAGTAATTGTTTCCATGTGAGATGTATTTGTCACATTTACCATTTAATCGTCGGTGATGGTATGAGAATTTTAAATTTAGAAATTGAAAAGGTTAGAATGGCTCTTAATTGGCTTTTTTATTCAAACCGTAGAAGTAGACTTAGAGAGTATTTTAAAAAATGTGATGAATTTGGCCTTAGAGAAAGAAAGGTTCCTAAACCTTGTCCAACTAGATGGAATTATATGTACGAAAGTTTAGTAGTTGCATATGAATATAGAAACCCAATTAATACAACGTTTAATGCTCGTGTTGATTAACAATGGAAGCCATTTGGTAATTCTCAAAATAGAACGAATTTGATTAATTAACCCCAGTAAAAAATTAAAGAATCCAAAGATAACCATTTTTTCCCCCTTCACTACATCATATTCCACACAATACTCACACACAAATTAATCTCAAACAAATTAAAGAAATATTGAACAATGCCATACTAAGTCTTTTACATATCACTCACAAATAAATCTCAACTAAATATAACACACTGGTTATTATAAACTCGAATATACGTAATCCTTATAAATCACCAAAATATACATCACAATTCAAACTGTATTGTCACATAACTCGATTGAACCAGTAACTTTCAACTTGAATATTCCTTACTTCAACTTACCCTTCACAATCAAATTAAATCAACATCAAATCTAGAGAGAAACTTTCTTTTTGCAATCCATATTCTTAACATCTTGCGTTTGTAAATCAACTACCATACTACAATTCATTTCTATACCAACAGTTTTCTTAATAACCAAAATCTTAACCCTTCCCTTAATACTTGTGGACATACTCATAGGCAATTCCTTTGCCACCAAATCACTTGCTAGCCTAGGAATGCTTGATAATTTGTCAACCATAACTGTGACATTCACAATCATTCGAAACGTTCGTCGAGCCTTAGCATTCGCTGCTGGCGTTAAAACTTCTACGATGACTCTGTCATCGTATATCAAAGTAGTAGTTGCCTCGTTAAACTTGAACGAGGCCGCATTAGAGTTTTTAATAGATATATCTGCAGAGACTGTTATGTTCACGTTGGTTTGTAGATTGGAACTACTAGTGAGATAACTTAACCCGTCAAATTTGATTGAGTTCATTTTTATAGTAGGTTTTTTCACTTTGAAAACGGTGAATGCAAGAATTACAATGATCACAACTAGGGTTATTGTTGTGATACCACAACAACTGCAACATTTAATGCATGTTTTACGACGTCGTTTTTTGGCTAACTCTATACTGGACATGAACGTGGAATTAATGCCTTCTTCGTTTTCTACGTGTATACGGTGGGATGCAGGTGCCAAAGGTCGAACTTGATTTCTAGATTCATTTATGGTGGAATTTGGAAATTGGGGTGGAGACATTTTTGGAAAGTTTCTAAAAATTGATGATGATAATTTTGCTATGAGATGAGAGTATTTAAAGTGACAAATGGTATAGAGCTCTATACTTTCAAGCCAAAGTTGAATATTTCTTGTTGTTTTAGGCTTTGATATTTCTAGATATTCAACTAGTTTTGACCCATTAATAGCAGACTTGAGAGCATTGATGAGTCTAATTATGAAGTATCTTAGCCTTGACTTCTTTAGAAGGAATATTTATGTTTTTTCATTATTTTATTTATCTAATAAGAGCATGTTTGATCAAATTTTCAAAATGTGCTTATTTTAAGAAAAGCATTTTATAGTAGAAATGCTTTCCGAAAAAAGTATTTTGGAGCTGTAGCAGCTTGTATAACACTTCTATTAGTATTGGAAGGCCAACCTTTTTTTCAATAAAGTACTTTTAGTTTTAGGCATCAAGTTTTGAAAATGACATGTACAGATTTACTTTATAATAATTAATATTATTTTAAAAGAAACTTGATTTTAATTACCTACTATTAGAAACTTTTATTACATTTAAAATAGAATGTTGCCAACTTGATGCACATAGCACAACGCTGCCACCCGTATCCTCTAGCCATCCCTGCAATTCAACAATTTTATTAAGGTTATTTTGAATGTCAAAATTAATATATCACTGAAATAATATATGTCTAACAAATATTATAGAAATAAAAGTCTGACCTGATAAAATTTCTCGAGAGAAATCGAATAATAAAAGAAGATGTATCATGGAGGAAAATTTGTTAATTATCTCCTTATTATGAATGAAGAGGCCAGCCCAGACAGTATGATGATTCAATAGAGCCAAATAAAGTACAAGAGCTAAAAGGATAGAATGCTTGAGAGTAACAGCCACAACATGTTTAGCTCTGTCAAGATTTCCAGCTCCTAACTCGTTTGCAACTCTGGTGCTGCATATATATATTAGAAATACACATTAATTTGGTATTACTTATAAATTGAGGGATAATAAGAAGAAGATATACATTTATAATGTAATTATTGTTACTCCAAGTACATTATATATGCATGTTAACCTGTTGTAGCAAGTCACCCCAATCTTTTTTTTGTAACTAATCTAACTTATGATAGATAGTTACCTATAATATATCATACGAACCTAAGAATGTAGAAGTTTCTTCTACTGAACAACGTATAAAAGTTAAATATCATAATTATGGCACCATATTCGTGCATAGTAGATTACCTTGCAGCTACACATATGGTTGAATCTATTCGAGCAAAGCACGTATAGACCCAACATGATGAGTGCAATCCAGATCGAAATGGATGTTGCTAACGATGCTCCTTTAAAACCAAGACCTGTCCAATGAACCAAGGCATACGCAATACCAATGTGGATAACTAAAGATCCCACTGAACACACAACCATAGGCAGGGTAATTGACTGTGCCCAAAGAAATCTCAAAACATTTTCAAAAACACCATATGCGAATAATCCAGGTATAAAATGTTAGGTTTAGTTTTAATGATGAAAAATAATATAATTGCTTTTGGTGTAGGGACTCAAGGACATCATTCAAAGGAATCAAAGTGCAATAAGAGAAGCAATCAACGCTGAAGAAAGAAATCAATCAGAGATTGATTGAAGCATTCAAAAGGATTGATTGAAGAAATCAAAGGAAATGAATCACCGAAGAAGCACTGAAGATCCTGCAAGATAATCAATCAAAAGCTATTACTGGAAGGACCCAGATTTAAGGAGCAAATCCGGCAGCTATCAAGACTTAAATATGGAAAGCTATCAAAGTCCACACATTCAGGAAGAGTAACGGGAATTAACCTTATTCTTGGAAATAATCAATGTATTTCCAAGGATCAAATCTCTTGGGTTGGAAAATCTCTTCAGTTTCAACGGTCTCCTACAAAGTATTTATATGAAACCTTAGACTTGGAGACATATACTTTGATCAAACCAATTACCCTCTCTTTCTTCTACTTTAAACAAACATTGTAGCTCTTCTAGATCTGCTGTGTAACAAGTTAGAGAAGAAAGAGAGAAAAATACTGGTGATGCATTGTATCAAGAAAAGACGAGTGACGTAGAAACTGAGTTGTTGGTGTAAACTACACCATTCACTTTGTACTCAAGAAACTCAATCACTGAAAGAGAATTCCCTTGCAACCCAAGGGAACTGGACTAGGATTCACATTGAATTCGAACCAGTATAAAAACTCCGGTGTCTTTAATTCCTGCACTTTACTTCTGCATTTTAATTCTGCACTTCTTAATATCTCGCTATTACTTCTAGTCGACTAATTGGTAAACTAGTCAACTTATAATAATTAATTTTGAAATCAGCGATTCAGCCCCCCCCCCCCTTGTACTTTCAATTGGTATCAAAGCTAGACTCACACTTTCTTTTTGCTTAACAGCTTGTGAGAAAAGATCAGGGCAAATCAAATTATTATCAGAGCACTCGGAACATCGCAAGTGAGGCATCGTATTTCAACTGACAACATTTTCTCACTGGAAGTACGTATAGAAATAAACGCTAAGTCTTATGACGTCAAGGTTTGGCGCGTTATCAAAAAGGGGAACTACCCTCTGCCGGCTGCTGCTCAACCACCTACTGATCCAGAAGATATAGATGAATATACAGATGAGCAAATGGCAGTTGTTCAAGTTAATGCTAAAGCGAGGAATCTACTTTATAATGCTATAAGTGGAGGAGAATATGAGAAAATCTCCAGTTGTGATACTACCAAAGAGATGTGGGATAAACTTGAAGTTACTTATGAAGGAACCAGTAAAGTGAAAGAAACCCATATCAACATGTTAGTTCGTGACTACGAACTTTTTCAGATGAAAGAAGGAGAATCCATTGAAGAGATGTTTGCCAGATTCAGTAAAATCATTAGCGATCTAAAGGCATTTGGCAAACCATACTCAAGTGGTGATCAAGTTAGGAAAATTCTGAGAAGTCTACCCACCACTTGGCAAACAAAAGTGGTTGAACTTGAATCACAAGATCCGAACAAAGTATCTTACGATGAACTTCGAGGAGATCTTATAGCATTTGAGAAAACTCATCTCAAGAAAACTAGCGACGAAGAAAAGAAGAAAACAGTTGCTTTCAAGGCTACAACTGAAAGAGCAGACAATGATATTGATGACGACCCTGAAGCTCTTAAAAAAGAAATTGCTATGGTATCAAGGAACATGGACAATTTAATGAGAAGATACAGGAATACAAGAAGAGGCAGAATACCACCTAGGCGAACTGGGCAATATAATGAACAACACAAAAATTATGGCAAATGCTATGAGTGTGGAAGATTTGGGCATGTTCAAGCTGAATGTCCTGATCTTGAAAGAAAGGTTCCTAGAGGTTTTAACAAAAACAAATCATTTGGTAGTTGGAGTGATGAAGATAGTTCAGAACACGAAGAGATAGCAAATCTGGGATCCCAAAAGCAAGTACATCACACTTCCTGAGAACAAAAGCTGCACACACTGTGGTAAGACTGGTCACTACAAAAGTGAATGTACTGCAAAAGAAAAGGCTAGTCAAAAGAACAAAAAACATTTGTTCAAGGGAAAAATAGGCTGCCAGGATGGGCTAAAAAGAATTTAATTCACCCTTTTGCCTATAGAAAGGGACTCAAACTAGTTTGGGTTCCTAAGACTAACCCCTGATTTTCTTTTGCAGGTCCAAGTGAAAGGGAGTAGTCAAGTATGGTACATGGATAGTGGCTGCTCAAAGCATATGACTGGAAGAAAGAACCAGTTCCTTTCACTTGAGAACCTTAAAGGAGGAAATGTCTCATTTGGAAATGGTAAGAAAGGTGAGATCATTGGGGTTGGAAAGGTAGGTAAGACAGACTCACACTCCATTGAGAATGTCTACTTGATAGATGGCTTGATATAGCCTAATCAATGTATCACAACTGTGTGAAGAGGTAACTTGGTAGCATTCACCTCTACCAAATGTTTTGTGATAAATCTTACTACTGACAAGACTGTTTTACAGGGGAAAAGAGTAAACAATATACACATTGTAGATCTGTCCACTCTTTTAGAAAATGAACTCACTTTCTTAAGTGTGTTGGACAATGATCCCCTCTTTTGGCACACGAGACTTGGACATGCAAGTCTAAGTCAACTCAACAAATTAGTCTCCAAGGACCTGGTGATAGGGCTGCCTAACATCAAGTTTAAGGAAGACAAAGTTTGTGAGGCTTGTGCAAGGGGGAAGCAGGTAAGATCTTCTTTTAAATGCAAGAAAGTGGTAAGCACGACCAGATCGATGGAACTGGACCATATGGATCTCTGTGGTCCAATGAGAACATTAAGCAGAGGTGGTAAAAGATATGTGATTGTGCTTGTTGATGATTACTCTAGGTTTACTTGGACATTATTTTTAACATCTAAAGATGAAGCATTTGACATGTTCACTTCTTTTGTTAGAAAAACTCAGAAACAACTAGGTAATCAACTTGCATCAATTAGGTCTGATCATGAAACTGAATTTGAAAATGCTAAGTTTGCTGAATTTTATGATGTGAATGGCATAGATCATAATTTTTCTGCCCCTAGGACTCCACAACAAAATGGAGTAGTTGAAAGAAAGAATAGGACACTTGAAGATATGGCTAGGACTATGCTTCTTTCTAGTAAACTGCCCCATAGCTTCTGGGTAGAAGTAGTAAACACTGCATGTTATATCATTAATAGGTGCATGACC